GCTTTTCTTTTTATCAAATTCTTTCATACTCAGAAACCCCTTGCGTTTTGGTGGCTTTATTGCCTTGCTTGGAATGAAATGTTTAAAATAAAATATGTGTGTCGTTGAAACGAGCAATTTAAATAGATTTTTTTTTTTACAAAGAAACTATACAATTACCTTTAGCAATCTATTTTCATCAATCAAAATGTTACTTTTACCGATGCAAGTTGAATTTGAATTTCTTAGTTGTGCAATCATATCCTTCTATGGCAACACCTAAAACAATCATGACTAAAACTGAGAGCTAGGCTACTGCATTTTCAAATATATAGAACTAATCTATAAAACTATATTTTAAAGGGATTCCATATTCAGTAAAAGAGGAAGTAATATTGATAAATGATGCAGGGTGGCAAATATTAATATTGGAATATTAGTGTAGGAGTTGACAGGCATTTATAGGTTGAATAAGTCTGGTGAAGAGACTAGGGATTCCATTTTGTAATCTTTTTCAGTCATCTCAACTCCTGCTCCAGCGATTCTCCCTTTTTATTCTTTTTTTTTTTTCCTTGGGACATCTTCACATAACATCAAGCTAGCTGCCTATTTTAATTCGCAGACAGCCCCTGGTCATTTGTCTGTGCCATTCCAACTCAATTCTTGAACTCCTGGTTAAAAATAAAAATAAAGATAAGAAAGAAGGAAAAAAAAATGGTAGACAATTTAAAACAAATTAAGAATACACGTTTGACAAGTCTGGAATTGTTTCGACGGAATGCAAATTGAAACGGATATGTTGCCGACATGTTACATATCCATAATAAACGCTTTATCACACGCCGAAGGTCATTTTTTCTTATCTCAAATCAAGATCATTTTTATTCTTTCTATTTTTTATTTATTCATTTATAGTAATAATTTTAATTTTATATATATATATATATATATATATATATATATATATATATATATATATATATATATATATAGTATTTTATTACTTTAGCTGTTTTTAGTAATACTTCCGTCTAAATGATTCGACTCTTCTCTCATTTCTGGCTACTTCAGCTTTTTTCATAGGCTCCTCAAAATTGTTCCTCGCACTCCGATGATGACTGGCATGACTGTCACTGTCATTTCAGCTTCATATTCTATTCTATTCTATCTATCTATCTATCTCAGTCTGTTCAGTATCTATTTATATTATGTAAATAATATATAAATCCAGAAGGTGAGCCAAAACGTTTATCCTTTATTGTACGAGGGTAAATCAGAAACTGCACTTTTTTTTAATGGGCTTCGAGAGCATATTTGGCTTACATCAGTATGGCTGATGCTAACATCCACGAAAGTGACTCATTGCGTCTTATTGGGCTAACCGTTTGGGAGTACCATGTTCTTAAGCTTGAATGTGCGGGTGATGTAATGGATAATGGCTCAGAATAGTTAATAGGAGAGCCGAGTTCTAATTCCCGTTGGGTTCATTATATTCTCTCATGTGCAAATACAGTTGAGAATGGTATGAATCTATCTCTTCTCCCCCAGCTATGGATTAATTAGTAAGAATAGTATCAATAAACCATTATTACCTCAAAAGTAAATCTTACAATCTAAAAGAAAAAAAATCTGTCTTTAATTAACCTGCAAAGTGTTAATAAGCCATAAAATAAGAAATAAACCCCTCCCAAAATAAACACAGATTCTAATCTTTGGCATATATCAATGGCGAATCTATTTATTTGTACAGTTGTCTGTGAGACGCTTCATCGTTGGGTAATAGCGAATTTGCTTAGTTTAAACTTCACTGTCTGGTGAGTTCAATGCTGGCGGTAATCCCAATACAGAAATCCAATATTAAATAACTCAATAAATGATGATATGTAAAATAAGCAACTGTTTTCCAGTAGATCACCGTCACATTCCAGTTATATTTGTTTTTCTTTCTTCCCCAGCTCGCTTATTAAATATGCGTTCCATAATATATAATATAATAATATATAATAAGATAATATTTATTAAAAAGGAAAATTTAAAACAAGAGTTTTTTTTTGTTAAACGTAAATTGTATATACAAGAAAATGTGCATGAATATGTTATAGTGGAAACTTACTTTGCTGGTGTGTTTTATTGGTGTAGCGTTTACAGCTCTTTTAGCTTCAGCTTGGAAAGTTCATGACGCCAGTTCGAAAATGAAAACATTCGAAGACGAAAGACTTACTTTATGGTTCACGTGCTGCTGCTGCTGATACAAGGTTTATTTAAAGCTGCTTGAATAAGCTGGGGTGAATAGATTAAGAGGAAGATTACTTTTAAAGCAAATGACCGAATAGAAACTTCATGTTCTTGAAAAACGAAGTAAAAGAACAGTTAAAATCATTAGAATATAGTTACAATTTCTGGTACGCATAATGACGAAAGCGTACCTAGAAAATTTTAATCAAATAAAATATTGAAATATTATTCCTGTCTCGTGTCGTGTTCGTGTTCCTTCAACTTTTTAGTGGCCAGTTTCATATAAGTTATCTTTCCACCAGAAACTGAGCGGAACAGTTTTCCTTTTTTTTTTATTTAATCATCATTATTATTTTTTAATGGATTTTATTTCATTTTTTTCCACAGTCTACAGGGGATTTTATATTGTTTGGGTATATCTTCTACTTTTTTCTTATTTATTCTTTACCGATCTTTATTTCATTTCACTAAAGTTTTCTCATGAAGAGTGACTGAAAATATTCCTTGTAATTGAAAATTCTAGGATAGGGGGAAACAGAGAATAACTTGCCTCTTCAATTTGCGTGAGCGGATGAAAGAGCTAATGGTATGTTGTAACCTAGAAAGGGATACTGAATGAGGAATAACCAAAACGGAGGTTGGAAATGAAATGGTAATCTTTATAACATCAGCAAAATACAATACTCGCCAGCGTCGTGAAGTAGGTAAACCACTGCTATTGGTGGACGACTTAGATAGCATAATACCCACCTCCACTACGATAGTGTCCAACATATTTATGATGGCTTGGACTTACCCATTGGTGTTCATAGGTACGGTACATAACAGATAGATAGATAGATAGATAGATAGATAGATAGATAGATAGATAGATAGATAGATAGATAGATAGAAAAGGTTACTGAACGAGGAGTAACCAAAACTGGAAATAGAATGGTAATCTTTATAATATCAACAAAATAAAATACTCGCTAGCGACGTGAAATAGGTAAACCACTGCCAATGGTGAACTACGACAGCATATTAACCCCCCCCCCCTTACAATAGTGTCCAATGTATTTATGAGGATTGTCACATACCCATTAGGGTTCATAAGTACGGTATATAACATGGTCAAAACTGTCTAACGTTTATTTACACTTTTTATATTTTGACTATTGTCCTCATCTTTGTTGTTGTTATCACAACATTTCGGTCGTTGTGCTCCCAGCCGGCCCCACTTAGATGTATGTCGATCTGGCTAACTACAAGGAATTCTGAACTGAACCCTGGAGTAAACTGTTGTCGTTTCTCTGTCCCTGTCCAGAGACATCGTCTGGCTTTTATTTTAGTACTGCTCAGTTATTGCCGCCTTTTTCGACTGAGTCCAAGTACTCACTAACCGACACAAGGATTGAACTCGCTGCCACTATGTCACTAAATTCACGAAACAATCCATTAAGCCATTGTCCCGAAGATTAATTAAAGCTTCACTTCAGAATTCCCTATCTGCTAATAAGATCAATTAATCACCCGAGGAAGGCTATACAACACAAAGTCATATACACTGTGGCAACAACAACAAAGATGAGGACAATAGTCCAAATATAAATAGCGTAAATAATGATAGCTTCTCTTCCCAGAAATTCAAACAGAAACTGCCAAACTATAGTAGATTGATTGATTTGATTTTTTACGGTTTATCAACCGTTAGTGGGTTATTTAAAGCCGAAATATATTTTAGATTGTAAGAATAATTATTTTCTTTTATAACAGTTTTTAAAAGATAACTGTGTTTTTTTTTTCCAGATCATTCCTTCTATTTAACCTATAGCTGAGGGAGGAGGTGAATTTACATCTTTCCCAAGTTTAATTCACGAATAAATGAATGCAAGGATCTGGACTGGTGTTCGAAACCGATTCTCATATTTCTCATCCCGAGCAACTATTCATTACACCACCCGCACATCCATCCTACCTAACGAGCTTGTGTAAATGGATGGTAGATCAGGATGGATAGTAAAAACTCCAACATTGTCAAGAGCTACAAAAGATAGGAAGTTGTGGAGATCAATGATCGACACAGCACATGGAAGATGAAGATGAATATTAAATATTAGTAAACAATAAGTGTACTTTCTACTGTAAAATTCTTATACGCTATTTGTATTGAATTCTGTGTGGTTCATTATGTGAACATTGTCTGAATAAAGATTATTTTTTTGTTTTTACCTTTCTGTCACTATGTGTATTTGTAGACAATGACAAATCAGAACGGCTGTTGGTTTAAAACAAAAGGTTTGATGTCCGAGCAAGATGTTTTATTATTTTATTATTTCTGTAAATTATAAATCATTTCAGCGAGATTGTTTTCATATTAATCTCGATAACGTTTATTGTGGCAACCTCACATGATAAATCGGTGTCTCCAGGCATATAGCAACGTCAATAAACGTAGACATTAACGAGTGAATTAGCACCGAAATGAATTGATACTGAAATACAGTGTACAGAAAAAAAGATAGAAACGAAAAGGTATATATGACAAAGAGTATTGACATACTTGTAATGTTCTAAGAATTCTTGGTTCTAGGTCATTTTAAGCATTGTGATGCTTAGCAAGCTAATCTCGCTAAAACATGCACCAGTTCAAAGAGTCCGTAACCACAAGGAGAGTCTCATGTCCTTGTGCCAGAAAGGTTTAATAGAGTAAGTTCTTTGTATAGTAATCGAAATTGTTACATACTATCAACCCATTACAAAGGTCGGGGATCAAGCCAAGAGGAATGCAGGGTTCTAAACTTTTTATGGAAATGATTGCGTATATTATCTATCTATCTATCTATCTATCTATCTATCTATCTATCTATCTATCTGACAAAGAATGTGAGAGAGAGATAGAGAGAGAGAGAGAGAGAGAGAGAGAGAGAGAGAGAAGAGGAGAGAGAGATAAAAGGAGAAAGAGAGACAATGACAGAGAGGGATTTTTCTTCTTTGCCAATCTGGTTGCATCTATCTATCTATATGAGACAGTGTAAGTGAGTGAGTGAGAAAAACAGACGGAAAGAGAGAGGGATTTTTCATTCCTGTTCATCTTTTTGCTGTTATCTATCTATCTATCTATCTATCTATGTGTGTGTGTGTGCGTGCGTGTGAGAGAGAGAAAGAGAGAGAGAAAGAGAGAGAGTACAACTGTTTATAACTGCAAATCTCTATCAGTCTGTATCTGTCAATTCATCTATTGATCGATAAAGCAATCAACCATTTTTAATCCCAATATCGACACTTCTATTGATAAACCGGACCCATTACTAACCGCCTTTTGTGACATTGTGAAAATAAATTTATGAATGATGCAAGCTCACTATTTTGTTTTGAACACGTGATAAGTTCCAGTTCATCCTTTGATAAGATAAATTCAGTCAATCAATTAATATTGTCCAGTAGATTTTATGAAGTATTAACTAAATACCGTATATACTCGTAGAGATGCCGAATTCATGTATAGTCCGTACCCCACCCCCACCTCTGAATTTTTTAGCATAAAGTTAATCACTCCAGAAAAAAATTTACCGGTCATCGAAAATGAATGATTTGTCAGCTCTGCAAAAAATAAATACCTCTGTATAGTGTAACTCTGTATTATTAGTGTAAAAAAATTAACAACAACACATAACAACCGTAAAAACTCGCAAAATACTGGAGAATATACACTAGATATTTTTAGACTAAATATATTTACGAGAAGAACAATCATGGTTTATGGTGTTCTGGTTTATGGTTTGGTTTACGGCATATCAACACCTCAATGGGTTCTTTAATGCCGACAAAATTTTATTGCTGGTAATTTTTTCGAAAATATATTGTTGGTAATATTTTCTTTTCCTTCAAAAATCTATTTCTGGTGATATTTTTTCTTCAAAATATATCGTTGGTAAAAAAATGTCTAGCTGGTAATTTTTTTTCAAAAATGTGTAGCTGGTAATAATGTATTACTGGTAATAATTTTTACAAAGTATTTCTGATATTAAAACCTACTTTTACACTTTCATAGTGTTTTGACACCAGTTTGGTGGTTAACTATTTGCCCATAGCTGGGACCCGAACAGGCGCTACCACCCCGGGTCAGGGTGGACCTGGGAACACCAGCTATTAAGAGGTGGTTCCACGCACCTCGAAACCTCCTGAACAGAGGCCTTGCTGTTGTACGTAATTTATCGTCTTACCCAGGACGCGGATATAGTTTATCGTTATACCCAGGACAGAAGAACAATCAAATAGTTCGTTTATGACCACACACTTCAATATCAGATCAATATAGAGACATTGTTGTAAGAACTTCTTTTATGTGCAATGTCTATTCAGGACGTGCGCGATCCGGACCCTCCACAATTCTCTGTATTTTGTTTCTCTAAGTATCTATTTGCCTTTTGCCTTTTATCTTTATCATTGTTCTGCTATGCATTCGTTAAATAGATTACTCGTTTCCCCTTCTTCTCTGGCCTTCAGTATGTCATGTGAGTGTTAAATTTTCTAGGCCATCTTTCCTCTTTACGTATAGCAGAAATTGCAACTATATTTTAATGATTTTAACTGTTCTTTTATTTCGTTTTTCAAGAACATGAAGTTTCTATTTGGTCATTTGCTTTGAAAAACAAAAAAATCTTTTTTTTAATCAATTCACCCCAAGAAGGTGATAATGCCACTAAGATGCAAGGGGTTACTGAGAGTGAAAGAGAATGAGAAAATTTTTAACGAAGAACCGGAAACCCAGCCCTGAATAGGAAACAACGGATAAAGCTCTACTCCTCTTCCAAAAATAAATAAATAAAAATAATAGAAGGAATGTGAGTCGGTCGATAAGCGGACCTAAATTATGCTATATACACTGCTGCTACACTGTTTATGTAATATATCCCATAAAGATAAAAATGCTATGTGTATATCTCAAAGTAATGACAGCCAGAAAAAAAATTATGTGTACAGATTCGGAATAAGCATACTTCTTCTTCATTCTATGCACCGTGTCCATTGAGAACATTGACGATCAAGGCCCTCCACGATTTCCTGTATTTTGTTGTTCTAAGTAACCACTGACTTTTTACCTTTTCTCTTTGTCATTGTTCGGATGTTCATTCATTACTCGTTTCCCCTGTATTGCTTTCCTTCATTATGTCCTGTAGGTGTTAAATTTTCTAAGTACTCTTTCCTCATTATACTTACCAGAAACTTCAACTCTATCTTAATGTTTTTAATTGTTCTTTTAGTTCGTTTTTCTGGAAAATGAAGTTTCTATTTAGTCATTTTCTATTGGCAAAGAGGATGCAAATTATTATGACACCTTTCTCAAAATTCTCGTCTGTGGAACTCTCTTTCCATTCCTTGCTTCCCAGCCAATTACAATGTTCAAACATTTAAATGTCACGTCAAACGATATCTTCTGTTTTCCTGAATGCTTTTCTTGTCTGTTCATTCTCTTTCACTTCCAGTAACCGCTTGCGTCTTAGTGGCATTATTGCCTTGCTTGGGGTGAAACGATTACAAATACTAAGACGTTAAAAAGTAGAATACGCTTAATGCGTTACTCGATCAACATAATCAATCTACTTCGACTTAAAGAATGCAGTTTTAATTAAAAAAGAAAAATAATTTGGTAAAGCAAAAATATATTGAAAGTGCGGTAATTTCAGAATATTTTCCGATAAAATTACATCAAAGAATATATGAAATAGCTCCTTCCTAATTGTCATATGGAAAGAAAATGAGTAAGTACCGACATCGAGGTTCGGACGTGACAGTCTGGACTTATGAATACATGTTTTTCGCCAGGTGTATAAATAGCGGTGTCAGGCTACTCACTGCAGTGATTATTGAATGACTATTGAGTGGAACTATCCAGTCGAATTAGTGTGAATTAATTATTGTGCGGTGATGATTTGGGTTTTAATTTAGAATTTACCGGACGTTAAGCCGAGTCGCGCTACTAACAAGGTATTCACTGAAATGGTTAATCATCTTTCTTTGACTTTTAATTCTTTGTTCTTGTTAAGTAATTATTTGCGGTTGTAATTAATAACTGTGTTATTTAACATTGAAGTGTTGAGTTATACTTAATTATTAACCTGCCACCGTACGTCACAAAACTAATACAACTACTGAATATTACAATGTGAGATATTTAATAACAGTAGCAATAGAAATGAAAATGTGAATAAACTGTAGAGTAGTTTGGGAATTTAAATTGAATTTTCAGAGCCTCTATATCGTCAGCGTTTCTCGATGTTGAATTATAATCAGCGTTTTCATTCCCATCAACTCTCTCTCTCTCTCTCTCTATATATATATATATATATATATATATATATATATATATATATATATGTATATATATACAAGTATAGGATTAGTGTATACGAATTAAATTTCAATAACCAAAAAAATACTAATCTTAAAAAGAGTGCCCAATACAGAGTAGAGCAAATATAATTTACTCGAAAATTATAATATAAAATATGTTATATAATCACAAAAAATAGGCATTTTGTTTCAACACTTCTAGTGTCTTATCAAGTGATGGTGTTGAATGTAGAATCTACACTAAACACCCTCACTTGATAAGACGCAAGAAGTGTTGAAACAAAATAGCTATTTTTGTAGTGATTTTATAATATATCTGTGTTATAATTTTCGAATAAATTACACACACACACACACACACACACACACACACACACATACACATATATATATATATATATATATATATATATATATATATATATATATATAGATAGATAGATAGATAGATAGATAAATAAGATTTCGTCAATGGAATTATTAACAGCCCGAACTTTTGTACTTCGAGACGAACTTACGTTACGTAAGACTTTCTTTTCATCTTGTCATTCAGTTACTAACATAGATAAGTTCATACTTCATTGGTGGACAAATTTTTTATTCAGTTAGTCTTAACCGTTCCATTCTGATGCAATAGGTTCTAAATCTTATCAGCATATAGACCTATAAACTGATACCTATCGGAGATGTCGAGAAATATTTTAATGTTAAAGGCGGCAAAGATACAAAAATAGAAATGATTAACACCTGAAACAGATTCGAAAATAAATAAGATATAATTAATTCTTAAGGCAGTTGGCTTCAAGAACAAGACCACGCAAGCTTGGGAAGTTACGATAATAAGAGGATGTCTTAACTGAAGGAAAAGTGCGTGCCTGTCGTCTCAAATCAGCATTCGAATTCGCAGCATTTTACCTGGGATTGAACACTGATCTCTTGTACCGATGAAACCTATCTCTGCTACAGAACAGCCTGTCATTGATAACTGCTGTTTTTTTCATTAGGCTTGCATTTTTCATTGTTTTAATATATATATATATATATATATATATATATATATATATATATATATATATATATATATATATATATATATATATATATATTATGCGTTTCACCCAAGCAAGGCGGAAGCCACTAGGACGCAAAGGGGTTACAGAAGATTTGGAGCAAGATCAGATAGGAATGATAGAGGAAAGGATGAGGAGAAGGATAGTGGATAAATCACGGCAACTGGAGATGTCGATTGACATTACCTTTGAATAGTTGCAGATTATAGCTCTCAGGGAAACTGGAATAGGGAAGGGTTCCACAGGCGAGAAGTGCGAGGTATGAAGCTATTGAAGTAGAAGAGACGGCTACATTTAATAGTTTCAACAGTGAAAAGGTGACAGCGGGATGCCAGCCTCGTAAGGCGTTTGAATTCATGAAGTCTGGGAACCAGCGAATG